TGAAGCTTCATTGTTAATTTATCTAATACTATAGCATTAATAGAGTCCAGCTTGTAAAGAGAAAAAATGGCGAGTGCATCTGATGCTGGTATTCCCTTGGATAAACAAACAATACTTTAAACTTGGATTACCAAAACATATACGTCCTTCTTTGTTCCTTTTTCTTCAGCTTGCTAGGTTATGATTTGTACCATTTTGAGTTGACTCTCTGATACATCATAAGCAATGGCTTGGGGATTGTTTCAGATCCTGATGATATCCTTCTTTCATTTGATTGAACTCTCAAGTCAGCAAGAGACAAGGTTTGTCTATGAAACTTTTCGCGGCCAAGAAAATCTTTATCTTGATGGATCTGCAACAGTACTTCCCAGTGGGTTATTGCAGCTTACAAATGCTTTACATCATCAAATGGCTCATGTCTTCTATAAGGAATCAATTGGGCTCAGTAACTCTAGACCACTCTCCTTCTCAACACATTTCGTTTGCGCTCTGGTGCCTCAGCCTGGAGTTGAAGGCGGTCATGGAATGGCCTTTGTAGTATCTCCTTCAATGGATTTCTCGCATGCAGAATCAACTAGATACTTGGGGATTTTCAACGTATCAAAAAATGGATCTCCTTCTTCTCATGTGCTTGCTGTTGAGCTTGACACTATTTGGAACCCAGATTTTGAAGATATCGACCACAATCATGTGGGGATTGATGTGAACAGTCCATTGTCAGTTGGAATAGCCTCAGCATCTTACTTTTCCGACATAAAGGGGAAGAACGAAAGCATAAACCTCTTGAGCGGACAACCTATACAGGTTTGGGTTGATTATGAAGACACTATGCTCAATGTTTCGATGGCTCCTTGTGAAGTCCAGAAGCCAAGTCGGCCTCTTTTGTCACAACACATCAATCTTTCAGATATTTTCCCAAACAGAAGACTTTTTGTTGGGTTCTCTGCAGCAACAGGGACAGCTATCAGTTACCAGTATATTCTTTCGTGGAGTTTTAGCACAAGCAGAGGATCACTGCAGAGGCTTGACATCTCAAGACTCCCTGAAGTTCCTCATCCTAGAGCTGAACATAAGAACCTATCTCCGCTGTTTATTGTCCTGCTTGGTTTTCTGGCTTTCATGGGCTTGTGTATCCTTACTGGAATGTACTTTTTCAGGAGGAGCAGGTATGCAGAAGTAACCGAAGCATGGGAGGAGGAATTTGGTGCACATCGATTCTCTTACAAATCCTTGTACAAAGCAACAAAAGGGTTTAACAAGGATGGATTTCTTGGAAGAGGAGGTTTTGGAGAAGTCTACAGAGGAAATCTCTTTTCAAACAGAGAAATAGCTGTGAAGAGAATGTCACATGATGGTGATCAAGGTGTGAAGCAATTTGTGGCTGAAGTCGTGAGCATGAGATGTCTGAAACATAGGAATCTTGTTCCACTTCTTGGGTATTGCAGGAGAAAACATGAGTTTCTTCTTGTCTCCGAGTACATGCCCAACGGAAGTCTTGACGAGCATTTGTTTGATTACCAGAAACCAGTACTTTCTTGGCCACAAAGACTTGTGATTGTTAAGGGTATTGCATCTGCTCTCTGTTACCTGCATACAGGTGCTGACCAAGTTGTTCTGCACCGAGATATCAAAGCTTCAAACATTATGTTGGACGCCGAGTTCAATGGAAGATTAGGGGATTTTGGCATGGCCAGCTTTCACGACCATGGAGGTATCTCAGACTCAACATGCGCCGTGGGGACTATCGGGTACATGGCGCCAGATATACTTCATATGGGAGCTTCCACTAGAACTGATGTGTATGCCTTTGGTGTTTTCATGGTTGAAGTAACCTGTGGCAGGAGACCTGTGGAACCACAGTTGCAACTTGAGAAACGAATTCTGATTGAATGGGTTTGTGATTGCTGGAAAAGGGATTCTTTGCTTGATGCTACCGACCCACGATTACGTGGAAAATTCTTATCCGAGGAAGTCGAGATGGTTATGAAACTCGGTTTGGTATGCTCAAATACCGTGCCAGAATCCAGACCTACAATGGAGCAAGTTGTCCTATACTTAAACAAGAACCTACCTTTGCCAGATTTCTCACCATATACAGTGGGGATTAGCAATCATTCTTCGGTTCTGATTGATGCAGCCTCCCTTGTAGCTTCAAGGAGCTGGTCAGCTGCTTCCTCGGCCAATAACTCACCTTAATACAGATCAGCCATGGGAAACTAAGAACTCTCGCCCTCGGTTATCATCAAAGGTAAACCACCCAATGTAAATAGCAGAAAGCAGATATATATAATTAGGTCTCAAGATTGTTTTTATCAGTCTCACTTGGTCCCAATCACTGATTTTTTTTTCTTCTGGAAATGCTATATTGTCCCAATCAATAAAAGAAACTAACAGTTATCCAATTTCTCAGAAAAAGTAACTTGTAGACTTATTAGTCATCTTCCTGTTACTATAACCATTCATAACTGTATCTTCTTTTTTTATGAGTTCCTTTTCTTTTTTTTTGGTCAACGAATTTCATTTTAAGAGTTCTCTCTTGCTTTGCAATTATTGACTTTTGAGTTAGAACCAGACAAGAGACTGTATGAACAACAACAACAACAACTTAATATAAAAAGGTTTAAGGTTACTGTCTGTCATGGTCACAATAAAAATCAATTTCATTTTGTAAGATTCAATGCCTTTAAGAAATACATTTCCTGAAGACAATTTAAACTTGGAATGTTGAAACTTGTGTTTGAACAAGTTTTGATCTGAATTTGCATTTTGAAACTCCAGAAAAAAAAAAACCAGACTTATCTCTCTGTTTCATTAGCAATGGCTTCTGAAAGATTGCATCTGATCTTATTGGTCATCTTTAATCATCTGATTTGTTTGTTAAGTCAACAAGAAGAAGCCGGTTTCGTCTACAATGGCTTTGGCCAAGCTGAAGCTGATTTTCATCTAGATGGAGCTGCAAAAATTCTCTTCCCAGATGGATTGTTGCAGCTAACTAATGCCTCGTCGCAGCAAATGGGTCATGCTTTCTTCAAGAAACCATTCAAGTTTGATTCATTCGATAGGAAACTCTCTTTCTCGACTCATTTTGTGTGTGCACTGGTTCCTAAACCGGGAGCTGATGGTGGCCATGGAATCGCCTTTGTTGTATCTTCTTCCATAGATTTCACACAAGCAGATCCAACTCAGTACTTGGGAGTTTTCAACATCTCAACAAATGGATCTCCTTCTTCTCAGCGTCTAGCTATTGAGCTCGATACTGTTGAGAGCGCAGAGTTTGATGATATCGACAAGAATCATGTCGGTATAGACATCAACAGCCTGAATTCTGTAGAGTCTGCTTCAGCTTCTTACTTTTCAGACACCAAAGGGAAGAATCAAAGCATAAAGCTCTTAAGTGGAGACCCTTTACAAGTCTGGGTGGATTATGAAGGAACTTTACTAAATGTCACAGTGGCTCCTCTAAGCATCCAGAAACCAAACCATCCTCTTCTGTCAAGATCCATCAATCTCACTGAAATCTTCCCGGATCGAAGACTGTTTTTCGGATTCTCTGCATCAACAGGATCGTTAGTCAGTTACCAATATATCTTAGGATGGAGTTTCAGCAGAAACAGAATGTTGTTGCAGAGACTTGACTTCTCAAAACTTCCTCAGATTCCTCATCCAAGAGCCAAAAAGAAGCAAACATCTCCGCTGCTTATCGCTCTACTCGTGTTAATAGCACTCATAATGTTGGCTGTTCTTGGAGGAGTTTACTTATACAGGAGAAAAAAGTATGCAGAAGTCAGAGAATCATGGGAAAAAGACTACGGTCCGCATCGGTTTTCTTATAAATCTCTATACAAAGCAACAAAAGGGTTTGACAAAGATGGTCGTTTAGGAAAAGGCGGTTTTGGAGAAGTCTACAGAGGAAATCTACCCCGCGTTGGAGATATAGCGGTAAAGAGAGTGTGCCACGAAGCAAAGCAAGGCATGAAAGAGTTTGTGGCTGAAGTAGTGACTATGGGAAGTTTAAAGCACCGGAATTTGGTTCCTCTTCTCGGGTACTGCAGGAGGAAAGGAGAGCTTCTTCTGGTCTCTGAGTATATGTGCAATGGCAGTCTTGATCAATACTTGTTTCACAGAAAAAATCCAGCTCTTTCATGGCCGCAAAGGCTAGTCATTTTGAAAGATATAGCCTCTGCTCTCAGTTACCTGCATACAGGAGCTAATCAAGTTGTATTACACCGAGATATAAAAGCTTCTAATGTCATGTTAGATTCTAATTTCAATGGAAGATTGGGAGATTTTGGAATGGCGAGATTTGAAGATTATGGAGATAGCTTACCTGCAACAGCAGCTGTAGGAACAATGGGTTACATGGCACCTGAGCTAACAACAATGAAAACTTCTACAAGAACAGATGTTTATGCATTTGGTGCTTTCATGCTTGAAGTAAGTTGTGGACGGAGACCGTTAGATCCCAAGATTTCAGCTGAGAAACGGCATTTGATCAAATGGGTTTGTGATTGCTGGAGAAGGGATTCTCTGGTTGATGCTATAGATAGAAGATTGGGAGGTAAATACTCAGCAGAGGAAGCTGAAATGGTTCTAAAACTTGGATTGCTTTGCACAAACATTGTTGCAGAATCTAGACCCACCATGGAACAAGTGGTACAGTACATATACTGGAATCTTCCATTGCCTAATTTCTCACCAGAGTCTCCAGGAATTGGAGTTTCTACTCCGTTTATGATGTAAACAGCCTTCACTTCAAGGAGCACTTTAGCACCATCAACCTCTCCTCCTCCTTCCCGTAACTCCATATTTGTTACTCATACAATCACATACGGAGATGGTAGGTGACAGTTTAAGAACTTAGTTCTTCAATATACTATGGTTTAAGACAAAGTAAATGTTTTCAATAACATTGTCTGTGTATATTGGTTTAGTTACATTCTTGATTTGTTTAAGAGATATGAGTGTGAATCTGTGATAGAAATAATATAGAAGGTTATGTGTGATTGCAATCAAATTAATTTAAACTAATGAAACGTACAAAGAAAAAACTCATAAAAACTTGTAAGCACTACTAGTTTCAGACCAACAGAAATGAAAAACACAAACACAAAAACAGAACAGAGAACAGAGTCATTGTTTAAGCAGCAACAGGTGATCCATTAGTGAGAAGTTTGGTGTTATTTCTTCCTTGTTCAATCTCCTTGAGCATCCCCAAAGGCGTTGCAGAAGATCCATCCTTTGGACTTCTAGGACCATCAGCACCAATCACAATCCTAATCTCGTACTCATCCACATCACCTTTCTTCAGAACCTGGAGAGACGAAAGAGGAGATGAACAACAAGAAGTAGTGGTAGTAGGTGTAGTAGTTGCGACATTCGTGTGATGATTCTCTTTCTCTTTCTCTTTGGATTTTGGTGACTGAACAATCCACATGAGGTTGTAACCTTTGGTCTTATGCAGTAATATTACAACAGAAGTGACCAGAAGTTGGATTATCCAAGGTAAGGTTATGAGTAATGTTCCCGTTATCGAAAAGAATTTGATGTAACCAAAGTTGTGGTTTTTCGTGGTGGAGAGAGTAAACAAGAGGATTCCAGTGAGTGTGATCCAGAGAGAGTGAACAAGAATTGATGTAAAAGTGAAACCTCTCTTTTCCATTTTTGCTCTCTCGTTTTCTTTCTTCTCTCATTTGAGAAAAAAAGTTTAATCTTTTGAAGTTAAAAGATTATGAAATGCTGTTAGAGGATTTACCGTAGATAGTTTAGATTTTTTTGAAAAATCATTTGTTTTAGGATTTCCGTTGGGGTTTAAAATTAAATATTATTGAACATTTGAAATGAAAAAAATCACTAACATCTCGATCAGAAGGATATTTAGTTATAAATTGAGAAAACAAATAGAATAAACTTACGACTTTAAGTTCTGCAACATCTCAAGGTTTGGTAAAATTGCAGTAGCTTCACCATCAATAACAACAAGTTCGTTGTGGTTCTTGAAGCATTTAGTTGAGAATTTGACACTAACAAAACGAAATGAGGATTGAGTTATGATGGAAAAAAGAAATACTTATGTTTTTGATTTTTCAAGTGGGTTTAAATTAGCTTACATGTACTTATTCTTGGTTTCTCTTAAAGCTGTTGCTTGAACTAGTCCGAGAATTTCATCACCTAGGTAAACCGGTGACCGAAAATGCAGACTTTGAGATACATATACTGCTCCAGGCTGCAACAAGACCAAAAAGATTTAATCATATGCTTATGTAAATCTGTATGATCAGGCACTAGGACAAGTAGATGATAAAATGAATGCAAACTAAAAGTAGAAAACTTACGAAATGGGCAGAGATGATACGAGGAAACATGGAAGAAACAAGCATGCCGTGGACAAGGCGATTCTCAAATCCGGCTTTACGAGCAGATTCTGGATCGAAATGGAGTGGGTTCCAATCATGGCTCACCTCAGCATAGGCCTTAACATCTTCACTTGAGAACACTCTTGTTTCTCTTAAAACATCTCCCACTTTAAGTAGTGTCTTTGAAGCAACTGATGAGAAGCTCCTCAAAACAAGGAGACCTGTAGGGAAAACTGTCTTCGCCAGCATTGTTTCACCCTGAACAACCAAACAAAAACTTTCAGGTTGATGATACTCCACTCTTTTCAGTGGCAATTGCTCTCATTGAGTCATTTTGTCGAACACCTTATAGGCATGCCGTTGAAGGTCAAAAAAACTCAAGCTTTGCCAAATTTATTCCCCAATTGCTAACAATATATGATCAGATGCTAATCTTCATAACCAAAATTCTTAGAATAATGACAGAAAGAACATTTGAACCTCGTTAAATAAGAAAAGACAGAGACTTTGCTTCTTCAAGTTTAATCGTAACTTACTTGTTTCGCAGCTTCTTTGACTTTCGAGATAGTGACTAAAATGAAGTATTATCCAGATTATGTTTCTTAACCATATGATTTATCAGAACAATCAGGGTTCTACACATTTGTAAAGTTTCACAAAAACAATAGAAAAAGATGAAAACTTTATCTTTTCATTAAATATCAAAATAAACATACATAAGCTGAATTGTTGTGCTTCAGAATATCGGTATACAAATTGCAACCAAGATCGATTCAGAAACCATAAAATGAGACTACCAAAAACTGAACCTTGTAAAAACCATTACAGATGCATTGTCATCATATGATGATCATCATGGTCGCCACGTTCTAATCCATTCCGTCAAACTCTCGACATTGTTAGAGATATCTTCGATTTTGTTACTTTGTAGTGCAGTGACAATTTCCTCTTCATAACTGTCACATGCTTCTTCGAGTAGGATTTGATACAATTCACATTCAAGGTTGTTACTAAGCTTGGTTCCCGAGTAACCCCTGCTTTGGTTGAGAACACAATCAGAACCTGCTAAAGTTACAAAACAACTAAACTACTTTTGATGGATTTGAAATCTGACCTGTTAGTTAAACGGTCATACAAAATGGAGTTCTCAGTTCGAAGCACCACAACGCGATCAAACCATCGCTGAGGAAAGAAGTCACAGCCATGGTAGTCCACAATGTTTCCTCCTTCTACCATAACATCTTCAAGCTCATCACACACCTGATCCACAAGTTAAGTACAATTAAGTACGAAGGCGTCGTCTCATACAATAAAGGCTAATGCTTTGAATGGTCAATAACAAGTTATCAATCCACAATTTCCTTTGCAATTTAACCAAAACCATGCAACTCCAAGAATCAATTTCGATGTCAGATTGAGAAAAGCAAACTTCTGTCAAACTAAAGATTAAAGCTTTATCAATGGCCAAAGTTGAAACAACCAGCTCAGATTATTCCACACAAAGAAGCTGAAATTAGATGAACAACTCTAGCCAGAGATTCTACAACGATTCACAGTGTTTTTGACAAGGAAATTAGGATAAAGGGATTGGGTTCAAGTACGAAACTGACCAAGTCTTCGTTGATGATGTGACACCCGAACTCATTGTCCCAGCCATCGTGCAAGTTTTTCTCTTTGACCAGATCTCCGACGCAAATATACCGGAGATTCGTGGCTTCAGCCAGAGCAGAAGCCGTCGTCGATTTACCGGTACCGGGAGTCCCTGTGATCAATAGGTTTGGCTTTGGACGCCTTGTGCCATTGTTACCTCTCGCCATGTGCAATCTTCAATTAGCCTTAGAAGAAAATCAGCTTCGCCGGCGTACGATAGGAAGTGAAGACAATAGGGTTTTAGTTTTTTACAAAGCAAATGAATTGAGTCCCTAAGGGCCGTCAAATTGATTATCGTAAGATCTAACGGCTTAAAAGTTTTTTGGAAATCTCTCTTTATTTTATCAAAATAATAAAAATTAGAAATAGACCAAAGATTTGGATTGTAAAAATAAGATAAAAATAGTTAAGGGGCTATCTTGCAATTTCCGTTCCCGTATAAAAAAAAATCATGAAAGTAAAATGATTGAAATCTCAATGGTAGACCATGATATCACAGTACACGTCAACATTCCAAGTATACCGGACAACTACTGTCCATTTAAATTCCACCACGTGTCCCGATAACGTTCCCGTCTGTATCTCTCTCTTCCGTCTTCTACTCTTCTTCTTCTTCTACTTCTTTACCCACATTATCTCGAGCCAATAAGTGATAACACTGAAGCAGATATAAGCACTGAGAGAAACAAACTAAGTAAGAACGCGAGAGAGAAAGCCATGTCTGCGAAAACAGTCCTATCATCAGTAGTTCTGGTCATTCTCATCGCCGCATCAGCAGCAGCGGCGGATATCGGATTCGATGAGTCAAACCCGATCCGAATGGTCTCCGATGGTCTTCGGGAGGTAGAAGAAACTGTTTCCCAGATCTTAGGTCAATCTCGCCACGTTCTCTCCTTCGCTCGCTTCACTCACCGGTAAGTCACATGCTTTCACCACCGGTGCCTTCGCCGTTGACTTTTGATCTTAGTTTTGATAATCTTTGTTGGTGATGAAGCTATGGGAAAAAGTATCAGAACGTGGAGGAGATGAAGCTTCGATTCTCGATTTTCAAAGAGAATCTGGATTTGATCAGATCCACTAACAAGAAAGGCTTATCTTACAAACTCGGTGTTAATCGTAAGTTTTTATCTTTCTTCTCCTCAATTTGTACTTAAGGAAGTAGTAACCTATGTATAAAAACATTGTTGGTGGGAAAACGTGGAATAACTTTTGTTCTGTCTTGGAATCTTCTAACTGAATATATTTAAATTTTGGATTTTAGCTTTTTTTTCTTCTTCTTTAGTTCACGTGATTCAAGATTGTTATTTGGTCTCTAGACTTTACAGAATTTATGAGTCTATTTATGAACTCTGTAAGAGAGACTAGTTTGTGTCAAAAAACATTGTTCTGTTTCTTTAACATTTAGCTGTCCTGAGTTTAAGATTGATTCTTGTTCCTTATGTGGATCATATCTTTGTTTGTCCTAGAGCTGACATTTCAGTGGATGCCTTGATGGATAATGATTTACCTAAATATTGCTAATTGTCTCTTGAATCTATACAGAATTTGCTGATTTGACCTGGCAAGAGTTTCAAAGGACCAAGCTTGGTGCTGCTCAGAACTGCTCTGCCACTTTAAAGGGCAGCCACAAACTCACAGAAGCAGCCCTTCCGGAAACGGTAAGTGCAGGACTCAATCTTTCTGCACTGGACCATCCAGTTCCTGTTCTTCAGCTTTACGAAAACATGTTTAGCTGCAAATCTTTTTAAATATGGTTCTGAGTCCTCAAATTGCGTAACTGCAGAAAGACTGGAGAGAAGATGGTATCGTTAGTCCGGTCAAAGACCAGGGAGGTTGTGGATCTTGCTGGACATTCAGGTAAAACCAATGATTAAGATTCTAACCTCTTTATTTTTTGGTGGGATCTTTTGATTTAAAGTTAAAGCTCAAGATTGTATGTCATATGATTAATTTTTGTACTGCAGCACAACTGGAGCTCTTGAGGCAGCTTACCATCAGGCATTTGGAAAAGGAATATCTCTCTCTGAGCAACAGCTCGTGGACTGTGCTGGAGCTTATAATAACTATGGCTGCAATGGTGGCCTTCCTTCTCAAGCCTTTGAATACATCAAATCCAACGGTGGCCTCGACACAGAGGAAGCTTATCCTTACATCGGGAAAGATGGAACCTGCAAATTTTCAGCAGAAAATGTCGGTGTACAAGTCCTCGACTCAGTCAACATTACTCTGGTAAGCATCTTGTGTGGATTTTTAATTTCACCTACCTGAAAATATATATTCGACCTGTAATCTGTAATGATGATTGAAACAACAACAACAGGGTGCTGAAGATGAACTGAAGCATGCGGTTGGATTGGTACGGCCAGTAAGCATAGCATTCGAGGTTATACACTCGTTCCGGCTTTACAAGAGTGGAGTTTACACTGATAGTCACTGTGGAAGTACTCCAATGGTGAGACTTTCTTCTTTAAACTGTTAAAAAGACTTTCATTTGTTTCACATAAAATCATCTTAGGCTCTTAGCTTAGTGTTCAATTCGGTTTTCTTAATGTGGCAATATTCAATATAGGATGTGAACCACGCTGTATTGGCCGTTGGTTATGGAGTTGAAGACGGTGTACCATATTGGCTTATTAAGAACTCATGGGGAGCGGATTGGGGCGACAAAGGTTACTTCAAGATGGAGATGGGGAAGAACATGTGTGGTAAGTTCTTTAACCTTTATGAAACCATCACACCATTATCATATGATATAAACATATATAAAGAAAGATACAGAGTCAAAATTTTCAGATTTTCATATTTGGTCTCTCTCTATCCTTAGTTCATTCGTTGTTGAATTGCAGGTATTGCTACATGTGCATCGTACCCCGTTGTGGCTTGAGATGATCAACAGCGAATGTGGTTGGTCAATTATCAAATTACGTAATGTTCGCATATTTATTGGATTAAGACATTACTTTTAAGTTGGGGACTTGGGAATGCATATTGTTTATGCTTGTTGTAACATAAAGGTCTGTTCATATGTACAAAATTAAGCCAAAACTATAGACGACAAATTTATAATATTTGCATGTTAAACTTAAGAACATAAATTGATTTTATACCAAAGGCTTAGTTCTTGATCCTAAAATTCAGTTTGTATAACCTATAGCTTACAAGTTATGACAAAATACTTATTTTGGTTTTGGTAATTGGTCTTCTGAACTAAAATAAAAACTAATAACGTGATTAATAGTGGTCACATGTATCTCTCATAGAATTCTTAGTTTTGAAGAAATATCTAACCAATTGTGTGATTGAGAACACGCAAAACTGCTAATAAAGTATAAAAAATCATTCACACAAACTTTATCTAGTTTATGGACATCAATTCACAAAAAGCAGCATATAACACTAAAATAATTGATGTTACTTTTTTTTTTTTGATGTTACTTTTATTTGTTTGTTTGCCTTAAGTAAAATTAAAGTATATGGTTAGTATTTTAATTACAATTTTTTTTTTACCCTTTGGTTTGAAACTTTGAATTTTTTTACATGGCCACGAAAGAAGAACACCACACGTTGCTTCCGCATAAAACATGGCCGAGTCACCCTACGAGTCAACCTCCGACTCGCTTAGCACCACCCCACCCACTAAGCCCGCTGAATCCGAGACTGTTGCTATTTCAAGCCCTCAAAGTCACCATGTCTTCCCCGAGATCCCAATCGAAATCATCAGTGAAGAAGAAATGGCTATTCTCGATGCAGCGTTTGCAGCCACGCGCTCAATCTTCCCTTCTGCGATCCGTTCGGCTTCTCCATCACGAATTCTCGCCGGCGAAAACCCCAAGATGATCCGTTCAATTACTCTTTTCTCCAAGAGGAAATTATCGGCTTGTTCAGATATCGAAGAGTCTTATTTGTATCGATTTAGGAGAAATCAAGCTTTAGGTGTCACAGATCTCACCGGCACAGTACGTTTTTATCTTCTCTTTTCTATGATTCGGAGATCATGGGAAGAGGATCGAATAAGCACCTTTGACATTGATCTCTGTTTGTTTTAGGAATGGTGTGAGAAACAAATGGAGAATGTTCTTTGTTTTGGCAGGAGAAAAGTCAATAAAGCAATGAAAGTTGGTCAGGCTCGTCATTTGCAGCTTGAAGAAGAGGTATTCACTATGATGGATCTTAGGGGCTTATTGTTATTCAAGTGACAATGATTAACGTTATTATTGTTAAGAGTTCTAGATCGTTTTGTGAACAATTTGATGAAATCTACTTGTTGTTGTGTTTATAATGGGTAGGTAGTTAAAAAGGTGAGAGTAAGAGTTGAATCAAATGAAGATAAGTGGGCATTGAAGCTCTTAAATTCCATCGCTGGTGTTAATCAATTCTTGTTTGAAGGACGAACTCGTGAATTGCTACTGTGAGTTCCTTTACACCTCTAGTTTTGATTCTATTAGATGTCCTTTGTAACACCCTCATAGCTTTTACCTTTTGCTAGCAAGATAATGTTTTCTAGTATTCATCAAATGAAACTTTAAGTATGTTGCATTTTCCTCGTTATGGAGTTGAGTTGCTTTTAATTATCATCAGCTTAGGATTTGTTGGAGGTCAATGGATTGTGGGAATTATTGACGAGCTTAGAAAGGCGTACGCAGAAGAGTCTTCTGATGGCGGACCAATATTGATAGATACAAAGACTCGACTCCGTGATACACTCCCAGCTGAGCCACAGAGGAGGAATGGAAGGTAAGTGCTTGGTCATTTTTGGTTTTGGTTTAATACTAGGGAGTTCTATGCTAATTGTCCTTAAATTATATTTGATAGGCTTCAGCTGATGCTTTACAAGCTTCTATGGGACACTATTGTGAAAGAAGGGTTTCCGACGGGAGCCTTTTTTGACTACTTCTCTTTGAATCGACATTATATCTTATCCCAAGATGTCAGAGATAACATTGCTAATGCAGGTATCCAAGCTCAGGTACACTAATCTTTGACTCTGTGGAGTATATCTTTCACTAAGCCAAAGTTTTTGTGTTTATAAAGAGAGAATTACTCACTTTAAAATGAGGTTTTATCGATATTCTTACTGTTTTTTATTCGATGCAGACACTTGAAGAGATAGTTAGGTACTATGAAAACACTTTTAAGATGCTTCCGATAGCAAATGATCAACTATTACTAAAGTAAGTAGAGATGGCTTGTTCTTGATTTTATAGAATACATTAATATATCTCTGATCATATGATTGTAGTTGAGTGAGAAATTTGTCCTCAGGTACGAGTTTCAGAAGGACCAATCTATAATAGCTGAGATAAGATTCAACCATGATCATGAATGGGTGATGAGCAAATATAGAGAAGTCATTGAGTTCTGGAGAAATGAACGAGAAGCTGAGTACACTCCTGAAGAAGAACGTTGGAAATGTCGGTATTGCCAATTTGCCAAGTCTTGCCCTGGAAATCCAAGTTTTGAATCTCCTAGCCCGAGCTCACCACCAAGAGAGGCTCCCGCTCCTCCTATACCAAGCTAAAAAGAAGACGAAAAGTTGATTCTTTCCGAAAGCTGCTAAATGCTAACATATGTTTGTGTTGTCTTTAATTACCACATTTGCTTCCCTCTTCATTTTAAATTGCATAGCAGTTAAGTGATTAAACCGTAGTTTGGTTAGGCGTACCGAGATTGATTTGATTATTGCGTATCCCGTTTCCAATACAGCTTTGTATGTATCATCATTATTGGAATCTGTAAGGTTATCGACAATAGCCTTTTTACGTTCTGTATATCTGAGTTAATGCATCTATTAGAATGTTTTATGTGATCTTAGAGCACTTCCAATGGTAGTATCTCCATGAGACATCCACAATAAAAGTAAATCAAAAATAAATAAAAAATAATTTTTTAATTAAAAGAGGTGAGACACGTTTCTCATTTGAGACATTTTGAGAAACTCTCTCTCTCATACACATTTCATTTCTAGATTGGTTTAGCAATTTCTTTTTAAATTCAATTATTCTAAGATTTATAATATCAATTAAATAGTTTTTAAGTTTTTATTTTTTATTTTTTATTTTTCTACAATTCATAAAATAAAATTATCTATATATCAAGCTCCATTATACAAAAGTTTAAATTTTTATTATTATTATTTTTAATTGATATTAGTTAAGGTTATATAAATATAAATTAATATTTATAGTTAATAAAATACTATAATATTAGAAAATAAATCTGAGAGGAATAATCTGATATTTTGTCAATATTTTGATATTTTGATAAATAATGTGTTATCTTTTGTCATTATTTACAAAATGTCCAATATAATTAAAATCTATTTGATAAAATGATGTGTAATTTTAATCATATTGTTTTACAAAATTTCTAATTAAATGATATGTTTAAAATTTAATATAAATTTTTTATTAAAATATAAATTTTATGTACAAGACTATCCTTTTTGAGCATATATGGCAAAAGTTTGGCGCATCAAGTGAAGAGTAAAACATATAATATCTATTTTGGTTTTGTATGTTTTTATTTACATTTTAATTTATGTTATCATGGTTTTATATGTAATTTTGTGTTTAATTTATATATCTTTATTATGGTTTTATATGTTGTTTAAAATTCAATTTATGTTTAATTGTGGTTTTAAAAATAATAGTCTCTTTAATAGATTATTTATAATGAATAGTACTATTAATTAATGTTTTTAAAATTATTAATATTCATTATATTATTTACTTCTATAGAAAATATAATTATTTAGTTTGAATGACTATATTTAAGATATAATTTGATATGTTTAAAAATATTATTGAAAAAATTAATTTAATATAAAAATATAAATATTATATTGATGAGACATCTATAGAGATATCTCACCAATGGAAGTAGAATTTTAATGTGAGTTTCTCTAAATAAATATTAATATTATATTTGTGAGACACTCTATGGGTGTCTACCATTGGAGATGCTCTTAATATCCCAAAGCATTAAATAAGAAAAAGTGTAATTATACATTTGCTTAACTGCTATGCAATTTAAAAGTGTAATTTTGCATTTTAAAAGTAGGATATATCATTTGTTTAGCCGTTTATGAGAGGTAGGCGGTAGCAACCAAATACGATCTCCACAATGAATTTTGGGTCAACACACTGATTATAATTTAGGTAGCATATTTTTCACTTTTAGTGTCCATTTACGTTATAAGTTTCAAGATATACGATTGAGTATGAGCCCATAATTGTCGTATCTATACCGTAATAAGTTCAGTCAAATGTTCATATTTCTAGTGTTTCTCTCTCGTTGACATGGTAATGTATAAATTACAGAGCGTTGTCGGATACAAAACCAATAAAAAGTCTACAACAACTAGGATGACTCTTGTTATGAATCTTTTACCTCTTTTGTTCTCAGTAGTTCTAGTTCGTTCTGTTCAAAGTACGGTGCCTCTTAGATCCTTCAAGGTCAGCTTCTTAAACAAACACTTGAGACTCACTTCTCACTTCTAGTACTGTGATCTACTTAATAATTGATTCAACATCATCTTTTTATATCGTGGAGTGAGTTCAACATCGTTTTGTTTAGTATTATTACAAAATTCTCATGTCTATTTTTTTGTCATTGGCAGATAAGTGAAAATGTGACATACGATTGCATAGATATTTATAAGCAACCAGGACTTGATCACCCCTTACTCAAAAACCACACAATCCAGGTGCATGGTTTCAGAAATTCGTCTCCTACATACATTTTACATTTTTAAAAAATGGATGTGATTTTTGAATCTGACTATACAACTTTGTTTTTTAAAGATGAAACCATCATTATCAAGACATGAGCTAAAGAATCAAACTAGCAACAACAAAACATATAAGAAGAAAATAAAATGTCCATATGGAACTATTCCTGTACTGAGAAATACAAAAGAATTCAACACCAAAGCCCAACTTTTGGCTGCCAAGTATTTCAATCCGTTATCAGCTGATAGCCCTGGAACACATGTAAACATTCACTTTTCTTCTAATACCGTAGATCGATCGAATAATATATAGTACTCCACATTACAAGTGTTCATGTGTATTGGTAGATTGCTGGGGTAAAGCAACACGGTGGTCCATATCACGGTGTAGAAGCTAAGTTTAATGCATATAACCTAAACATTGGAGAAGATCAAGCCTCATATAGTCAAATGTATTTAGGCAGTGGACATTATGGCGAAGTCAATTTCATCTCAACGGGGATGATGGTACGTTTTACATTTTATTGTTTTTTTCCCCCTTAAATCCATTTTAGTCTTAATATATTGCAAGTCTTTTTAACAGATAAATCCAGGAATTTTTGGTGACGGACATCTGTGGACATATGGATTTTGGATGGTATGCATGTGAACATTATATATGCTGAATCATTAACCAAATAATATGTAAATATTACATGTGATATTGATAGGGTAAAGATGGAAAAGGATGTTATAATATGGCATGTCCAGGGTTTGTTCAAGTATCGAATGTGGTTCCCATAGTCAAACCCCTGTACCTTGAGGGAGGGGACTCTGCACCGTTGCAGTGGGCCATCCATCAAGTAAGTTTCTATTTTTCTACACTTCGTTCGTTTTTTAATAATATGTTTTGAAGATTTTTTGTTTGTTTCAATAATTTCGTAAATTTCTAGGCAATATTTTCATGTCATTCTCACTTAGTAGTGAAGGATTTATGGTTCTTAACCATTAATAAAATCAAATAAGTAATCTATTTATTAAAACGATATCATTTTTAGTCCAAACACTTTGCCTTTCACGTAATTTGATTAAATTATTTTACTATGAATTTTAATTCACAAATGAATTTTTGTTTTGCTCTTAAAAAAGGATGAACAAACAGGAAACTGGTGGGTTATACAAATGTCGCCTTATACATATATCGGTTATTGGCCAAAGGAGCTATTTCACCTTATGGATAATGGTGCAACTATGGTTGGAGTTGGAGGTGTAGTTCAGGCTTCACATTCTGGTTTAAGTCCTCCAATGGGTAATGGTAAATTTCCGGCAAAAGGTCCATTGAGATCAGCCATGTTTTCAAATGTTGATGTCTTGTATTCTAAGTATGAGAAAGGTAAAATCAATGCTTTTCCAATAGAGGAGATGCTAGATAGTAGATGTTATGGGCTACGAATTGGTAAGAGAGTTCGATTTTGGACTACTCCACTCGGATTCTTTTTCAATTATGGTGGTCCGGGAGGAATCTCTTGTGGAGTTTGATATTTGCGAGTATAAGCTTTAAACTTGTGTAGATTGTACTCAAAAACCGAAAATATTTTAAGAATAATCGACATGTTTTTAACTAATACCAAGTCTACTATGAAACTCGAAGCAACGATCCTGATATCCTGACGATGAACATTTGCACTGTGTTTGTTTGTTACTTATTTATAAGCCCTAATTTTTGAGAGTTGGTGGATATTTCCAAGCTAAACTGGGTCTTAAAAGGTTCAGAATTTTCAAAAAAAGTTAATTGTTTGTTTTCGGTATCATTTCTCAATTGTGATATATTGAGTTGACTATAGTCTATTGAAAACATATCCTAACTAAAATTCGTTACGAGAGTTAATAATACTAGTTCTTAGTAAATTGGAGGAAACTACTTTAATGCGATCTTTGAACAAATTACAGTAGTAGTAGATTGTTCAACATGTCAACACATATAGCTACATAATGATGACATACACACACCTTCATGATGGTGATTCAACGTTTTGAAAAAAATTTATCTATAGTCATTTATCTCCCATAAATTCTCCGTTAATAGTTGAATAAAACTGAATTCTCCTTTAATTAATAACAAACCAAGTTATTCTAGATTTGTTTGAATTTAAAATGGATATTATGATTCAACGATATTTTTTTCGTAATCCATATTGATTATGTAAATTTAACTACCGAAATTTAATCAACAACTCCATTATGCATTTTAAATAAATGTTTTATGTCCGATTATTTAGCCAAAGGCCAAAGCCAACTCATGACGGCTAGGGTTTTTTGTTCACCTTAAAGACTTTTTTTTTTTTAAAGTTTATTTTAAAATAAAATATCCATTTTACATTTTTTTAACCAATCATATGAAAATAAGATTTCTACAATTTTCGAAATTGGAAAAATCGAAAGCCGAAAAATGTACAATTCATAAGCAGAAGAAAAAGAGAATTTTACATTTTACTTGTTTATCACCAAAAGAAAGGCCCAAAACGCGTAAGGGCAAATTAGTAAAAACCAGAACCACAAAGAGGATGCGGAAACCCTAGACACCTCGTAGCTATAAGTACCCTCGAGTCGACCAGAATTAGGGTGCGCTCTCATATTTCTCACACTTTCGTAGCCGCAAGCCTCCTCTCAGATTCTTACTTGCAGGTTCGAAATTTCTCTCTTTAGTGTCTTCGATCTTCATCTTCTTATGATTCTTGTTCCTGTTTAGGTTTTAGATTCTTACTTTTAGCTGTATGTTGACTGTGATTATCGCTTATTCTTTGCTGTTGCTACCCTGCTTTTGATGATTCTCGAGTTTTAGATCCGTTTATTCATCGATCTATATTACTTCCTTTGAATCTGATGGCGAATCTTCTTGGATATTAATAGCGTTTACTTTTTCATATCGTCTTCGCATGTTGTTATAGCTTATTATCATGCCGATCTGTATCTGCTCTGGCTATAGTTGATTTTGATGTATTTGTTTG